GCCAATCAGAGAACACCTTTCGTGATAGAACGCTAGTAGATTTATACTAAATCTTGATAGGAACACGGAGAACATGTTTTCTATTTCTTAAAAAGGATATCCCAAATGAAATACTTGCTATGAATATGCAATCGTATAAAGTCTTATATGCTATGACTAACAAGCTTAACTTTAGCCAAGCATTGAACATGTCGTATTATGCCAGTGGAAGTTCTTCCAGTCTAAAAGTAGAGTAAATATTTAAAAGTAATAATTATGCAATTCAGGGCAATTTTGTGATTTATTGATGACTGGTATTGTGGAATTGTTTTAAATTACAGGGCCTTGTTCAGTCCCTAAAAGGCTCATCTCTGGCAACAGATCCTAACATTCGTGTTATAGCCTTGTATGACAATGAGGAGGTAAGCTGATGGAGTGCTTTTCGATTGACTAAAGCCAAAACCAAAGTAATTACTCTCACTAATCAATCACAAAGAACACAGACAATCCACTGAACCAATCAAAACTCGAGGTAATTAGTATTACATGTAGCAGACCCAAGGCACAGAAAACATGTGCAAGTGAGTCACGATTGGCTTTGGTTTTACTTCTGTTTGGTTTTAATAGTGGCATAAGTTATTTAAGCCAGTCGTGTAGCGTAGTGAGCCAGTGATGCAAAACCGTTTACTTTTTGACACTCAAATGGAAAGTGCTCAATGCAAGTATACAATAAATTATTGTTAGGCAGTGTTATAGTATGGGTTTTTGTCGGCAACAAGTAAGTTTTTTGAGAAATATAAGTGGAAAATATTTGACCCTCCAACTTGCCATTAAATTATTAATTTAAATGAATAAAGGGGCCAGACGATTTCTATTTCTCTCAATGAGATGCACATACCGGGAATCATGGTGCATGTAGTAGTATTCATCATCTTCAACTTGATATTTGCTTTGACGAATACAGCTACCATGATGCCCTGCAGATGAGTCTCGTAGAGGGAATTGGCCATTACAGCTGATCATGTTGAGCAGCACATGCAGCTTGGTTTTCTGTAGCAATAGGTTGGCCATCAAGAGGAAAGAACCCATTTTGCAGTTCCATGCGAAGTGATCACGCCTTTGAGCAAAAGCAGGGCTAGAGTTGACTTTGTTATGATACAAATTAACGTTGATACTTTTTGAATGAAAATTATCCTATCACCATACTAAATAGTGCCTGATGGTCAACCCTAACCTCACTTTCATACAGAGGCCAGGGTACATTTCACTAAACTGTAAAATGGTCTAGACGTTTCTGGTATGGTTAGAATAGGAGCAACTACGTTAGATTTTTATAAGAACAGCTCATGTGGCTCGTAAATAGATTTTGAAATATTCCTAATACCTAAACTAATGTGCCGAAACTTTGCAGTTCTGGTTCTTCAATCCTTATATGCAGTGCACTATTTACTGTTTCGTTGGTCAATCATGTACAATGTCTTCGCTATAGGTTGGTTCACAGAGTGCTCAAGGTGCAGGCTCCATGCTAACAGAGCATATTTTGCGCCGTCTGTCAGTAGGTATGTGTTTGAAACATTCATTTATTATTTCATCATAATTCATTTCTCCAATCATATATGTGTACCATTTTTGACGGGGAAATTAATATTGGGATCACACAAAGGAAGTATAAGCTTTGGATGTTGAATAACTCATGATTGTTTGTGTTCCCAATAAGGCAGGTGGAAACTCAACCAGTCTTGAGGAAGCAACTCCCAAGTCATTTCTTCTCAGTGCCGACCAGGCCCATGCAGTTCATCCAAACTATTCGTATGTACACTGTATAATCCAGTAGCTTGCTCCTAGTAAATTGATGTGTCATAATTAATATTTACTTCTTATTTAATGTTCATGGAGCAGACAATCCTCTTGGTGTACTGCATTCAGTCGAAGCTCTCGTAAGCGGACACCCCTCGTGGTCGCTTATGAGAATAGTTCTCGTGAGCGGCCACTAGAGGTGTAGGGGATAGATGGCCGCTTACGGGAGCTTGCCCAGCTAACAATAAATACAGTACCGTTTTGGAAATACAAAAAAATATGGATGACGACAAAACAAACACTGAAATGTAGTATTGTAATTACTGTAAAATCATAGTGACGAACGGCGATGTGAAGTTGATTGATAAAAACAAGATGCAGAGGTTGTTAATAGGATTTTCTTTGGGGTCTCCACTTACGGGAGCTTGAAAACAGAGAAAAAGTTTAAGTTGTAATCTCTGAAAGTGTCCGCGGCCGCTTACGGGAATGTCCGCTTACGAGAATGTAAAAATACAGAGTTTGTATGGGAGTTAAAACGGGTTTTCAAACAAGGCGGCCGTAAGTAGAGCTGTCCGCTAAAAGAGCTTTGACTGTATCTGCGATTTGATTGGTTGTCTCATCAATTAGTTATGAGGCGCGGTGGCCTCATGGTTAGTGCGCTCGTCTCCGGATCAAGCCATCCGGGTTCGAGCTCTGGCCGGAGACATTGCGTTGTGTTCTTGGGCAAGACACTTTACTCTCACGTTTTCTCTCTTCACCCAGGTGTATGTATGGGTCCCGGTGAATTTAGTGCTGGGGGTAATCCTGCGATGGGCTAGCATCCCATCCAGGGGGGAGTAGAAATACTCCTAGTCGCTTCATGCTACAGAAAACGCGATAAGCTCCGGCCTGATGAGCCACTTGGCTCGTATGCATAAACCACGCTATTTGTACATGTATTGCCATGGGAACAAGATTCCATCAACTCAACCTGTAAGCAACAGGTTGAGTGGAAATTGCCAAACTGGGAATTGTGCTAAAATTTGATCCACAAGTTGCAGCTTACTTTTCAAATTTCACGAATAGTCGTAGTCTGTTGATAAAAAGTTGACTGCAGAAACTATTCCTTTCTCCCTCTCTCCCTCTGACAATGAAGTGGTATTAGGGTATTTCATTTGCCACGATAAATATGAAAACCGGAACTTGTTAAACTACAACAGAACTTGGCAACTTGCTAGAGCTAAAGCAAATTTGAACGAAAAGTTGCCAGTTCCTTGATACAACTGTCAATCTATCAAAACATATTGTGGTGTTCTTCAAATGATCCTTCGTTTTGACTCTTAAATGTTTTTTTTTTTCGTTCCCGTATTATGTTTATTTTCAATCTTGGAAAACGTTCAGTATTAGCTCGTAGATTGTTCTTGGAAGCGTGGCATTCCATTCGCGAACCGAACTCAATTAATGACCACGCGCATATTCCAGACATTTACAAAATGCTAAATTAATCCCTAGCGAGTTCCTCACATTCTTATAAACATCTCATTTACATTTAGACGCCGTTAACATTCATTTCATCACTGAAGAAGGTTATAGTATTTTAGTCGAAACGTCTATTTTTAAGATTTTCAAGTCAGTGACAACAATTTTTAAGATTTTATAGCTCGCTGGTCGTTATTCAATAGTAAAGGTACACTGCCAGTCTTGAATTTGATCACCAATAATTGCACAGTTTGGTTCCATCATTTGTGAAGACCTCTCTAAAATTAATGAAAAGTAAATTAATGAACAAATAAGGCTATGCGAAGACTTATCCAGTATGTCATGTTTTGGCAAGACATATTCTAATGTGTTTATGTATCATGATTTCTTTTTCAGAGATAAACATGAAGAAAATCATAAACCTGCTCTCCACAAGGTGAGAAATACAAATATTTGAATGACTGAACTTTTCTTCAGGTTCAACTGGACAGTTGTAAGATGGAGTTTCAACTTTAATGATATATGATTAGGATACACTCCAGGAATTATTACAGTAACTTTACAAAAACTTGTACAGCTCAAGGCTCTGATAATCAATTGTCCTACACCTTTCTGCATTGCCAGCGGGTGGGTGCCTAGAGAACGTGAATAACAAATAGCAGATAGTTAGTTAATATGGGATATTAACGAATCAGATTGAATGAGACTATGGTTAGCCTGCGTAGCACGCACTTGCATTGAGTCATTAATTATCAATTATTACTATTGAGAGCTATAAGCACTCTCGATTCAGTGCTTCTTCGGCTTGCTAATGGAGTGCTGTTTAACAATTATTCCACGAGTACCCCTTGGATGTGAGATGGTAGATAGCCAACGAGGCGCGTATAGCACTGAGATGGCTATAATCAGTCATCTCATATCCAACAAGCGCGAGTAGAATAATCGTTTTATTTAAAACGCCCCCAAAATATAGAAGACTAGACTAAAATAAGAAATGGGATGTAAGACTGCCAGAGAGTTTTAATAAACTACTTATTATTTGCTCTTTGCCAGTTCTAGACAGCTGTGGTGTGTAGGTGTTTAGCAGGGAATGAAAAACTTCTGTTTTTGTCGATGCCCTGGCACAGTGAATGCTAGCAAACTTATTGACTTGTTTAGTGTAACTGATTTATTTTCAATTCCAACAAGGGTCCAGTGATAAAGATTAACAGCAATCAGCGATATGCAACAACAGCTGTGTCGTCAAGTGTTGTAAGGCTGATCGCAGAGAAGAGCAGTGTGCCAATACAGGTAGAGAACTTACTTGTTTTGAAGGCAATGAATTTGGAAGAGACCACCAACTTAACGTGAGGATACATGTGAAGACGCATGCAGCTTAAGAGAGATTAGTGTTTGGCACGCGTGCGAAATGTAAGACAAACACGCGAGTCGATTAGGAAAAACTCGAGTTTCTGGCCACTTTGTTTGTGCTCAGCAGCAAACATTATTGATTGATTAATTGTTTGAACTCAAGACGGATAGAGGGACGATTGATCACTTGTTAGATTGGTTGACTGATTGATAGATTGTTTGATTGGTTGATTGATTGATCGATTTATAAATTGATTGATTGATTGATTGATTGATTGACTGATTGATTGATTGATTGATTTATAGATTGATAGATTGGTTGATTGGTTGGTTGGTTAGTTGGTTGATTAATTGATTGATTCTTAAGTGTTTTTTTTTTTCTTGCGTCCTTGTATCACAGGAAGTTTGTGTACGAAATGATTCTCCTTGTGGATCCACTATTGGACCAATACTCTCCGCCAAGCTTGGTCTTTTGACTTTAGGTTTGTGATTTAGATACTTACGCGTTCTGCGCTGAAAATAAAGAGAATGATCGCCAAGCAAGGAGAGTTTCCTTCAGAGAGTAGTAAGTTACTCTCCTGAGGAACTACTTTTTTGTTTTTGTTTTTTCAGGCTTTTCCTGCTTACCTCTTAGTACTTACGTGAACTTAAGCTCGTTTCACCTGGAATACAACACACGATCAAGTCGTGATTTCTCTGTAATGCCATTTCTAGAACTGATAGAAACTAGCTAAGATAATTGATATGTTCATATTTTTCTTTGTTTAATCTGCTTCTAGATATCGGTGGCCCGCAGCTCGCTATGCACTCCATCCGTGAGATGTGCTGCTCATCCATTATTCACCAACAGACTCAACTTTTCAAGGTGACCACTTCGAATTCTGTCAAAAACTGTTCTTTTCTGCTGTTCTGAGTTGTCACGCAACGTAGTGCTGTGTTGGGGAGAAGTTTTACGTGACAAGCCAATGAACTGGATTCTTTTTAAACGGTTTTGAGGGAATTAACAAATTCCATTTTTTTAATTGTTCTATTTTCTCTACAGAATTACTTCGAGACACTTCCATCAGTGCTAGAGTCCGTTGCAGGAGCTGACTAAAATCAAACGAGTGTCACTGCTTGAGTTTAGTCACGGTTACTTAACGGTGTTGCAACTCTCCCAGCAATCTTGATCTCTCTTTCTCTTTCTTTCTATGTTTGTGTTTTTATTCATCGATAGAAAGTTTAACAGTAATTAGAGACAGGTTTTTTTTGTGTCAAATTACCTCTCTCACGGTCTAGTAATTTATCCTTGAACAAACGAGAAAGACCATGTTTGACCACATTTCCAAACACCAAGGAAAGAGTTGAAAATAAGACGCGCAGCGGGGTATTTTTGACGAACTTCGAGGTGTTCGGAAATGTGGTCAAACATGTCTTGAGAGTTTGATATATCTTCCCAATCGAAACTAAAACTAGGGAGTAAACGGAGAAATAAAATCGTAAAATCTACGTTAATTAAGATCAGATATCCAAACACCGTCACGGTCATGATTTCTTTTGGCTAAACTTGATGAATTATTAATGAGTTTGAGAACATAGTTTACTTGGACGTCACGCATTAAGTGTAGCCACTACGTTAAAACAGAACGGCATTGCGTGACAGCCCAACTAGGACAACTAGCAGCAAGCTGAGCCGAGAGGTGTTTTCTTATCTTGTTGTACTCAGGGCACGAAGCCAAAACACGGAATAAAACAACTTGTGAAATAATAGAATGTGATGATAATAAATATAAAGCTAGTTGTGTTGGAATACATTCTGTGTTGCTGTTTACGGTCAAAGACAGTTCTACCCGGGGTTCGAGGTTGCTCCCTCTCAGCACTACCTTCCCTCTCCCCGAGTAAAAGCGAGTGGGGGTCTTCTTCTTCCAACCCCGTTCGTAGGCGCTCTCTCCTCTGCCTCCCTATGTTGGAACCGAGGGATGCTGAGTAGAGAGAGCCTGGGAACGAGGTTGTTCTTCTCCATGTTGTCTGTAGAGGAGAATTCGTTGGAACTATTAGAGCACAACGACAAGATAATTTCGCACCAGACACAAAAAAAGACTATAGAAAACCCCATGATAGGGTTTATAGGGCTTTATTTGCGGTATTTCACTTACTAAGGGATTGGACTATAAAATGTTAACTCGACGAACACCTTGCATCTGTGAATCCCTTTTCTGGTCAGCATTCGGCGGAGGTGAAGGAAAAACAGGTTGCTAGTAATCTTGATGTTTGCCTTGTCACAGTTCCAGACCGTAATTCTATCTTTGTTTATAGAACGACGGCTGGGCACGTCGCTTTCAAAAGAGCTTTTGTGTGTCCTTGGTAAATTGGGCCTGTATATTACAATCCTTTGTTGATCGGCCGCGTATAAATTCTTTGTGATTCAAGACCAACTTGGTGTTAATAGCTGTTAATCACTTCAGATTCTTGGCTAAAAGGTCAGTTGAAAAATTCAGTAATAACAACA